TTTAGCTTCAAAATAGCACTTTAGCTTCAAATAGCAGAGTTGGGAAGGAGACCCGCAACAAAAAAAGAGGGTTCGGCAGGGTCGGATGTTTTTCATGAACTTTTTTGTAGACTAGTTAAAATGGATCCGCTCCCTAAATTGAGGCATGTTATTTGGTAATTTTGTTCTTTTTCAAATTGACTAGTACTGCTAATGCGTCATAATTGGCTAGCGTCACTTAGCAATTATGTAGACTCATAATTGGCACGCGTAACTTAAGAAATTTTGTAGACACAAAGTTTTACTCATTCAGTTTTTCCCAGTAGCGTTATCGGTCATATTTTAGCTTGTGTATGCGAAGTGCAACTTCGCCTCTGTGTGAAAACATGCAAAACTCTGAAATATGGGACATTAAAAATCTCAATATAATTGAATAATTTGGACGTTTTTTCCGTTAACTTTTCTATAATTATAGGCACCAGTTTTTAAATTTATGTAAAGATTGCTCGTTCTATACGTAAAATATGAGAATCTGAAATGTTTTTGTTGTTGGGATGTGCGTGTTTTTACAGATGGTTTCAGAATGTTCGTAATACACTAAAATAATCAGAAAGTTTTTGATGCCTTTTTTTCGTTTCGTTGGAAATAACTATCTTTTTAGAGTCCTGTGAAGCGATTCACTTCCAGACTGAAAAATTGAGAGATAAAGATATTCATATAAAAATTGAAGTTTATCTTCAGTCTGCCCCTTTTTCTAATTCACTGTACCACCTTTCGCATTGTTTTTTACCGAACACTCAGTAAACTTGTGCCTAGGTTTTTTATTGGAAAATTTTTACAGCCTCAATGAAAGTTTGTGGTTTTTTTACAACCTTGTTGTTTTAATTTATTCCTGTCTTGTTTCGGGGTTCGTTTTTTTGCAGTGGCGGATATAAGTGATATGAATATTTCCCCTTTTGAGAATAAATTGTAACAGGAAGTAAATGCGAGGCTAAAAGAGATAGGACTAACAAAAAGATTCTCATTCGTTTTAATATTATATGAAGCTGTTGTCACTTAGTTTTTACTCAAGTAAAAAGATTTGTTACTTTAAAAGAACACATTTTTCCACCTTAATTGGTATAAGTTATTGCTAAACAAGTTATTGCTCAATTCAATATCTGTGTTTTGCGCTAGTTCTGTATGGCAATTTACAAATTTTTTAATTACATGTTTAATGCACTTAATTGTTTTCGGCTGCTGGTGTTAAGAAGACCGGAAGGTGGTAGTTTTCGAAATAGTTTTTGTTTCATGGAAAGTCCCCGGTGTTTCTATGATCCATGAAATTCTTCTGGATATTTTCTGGTCAAGATTTTTGATTTTCGTTCAATTTAGCTCCTTGCTTAAAGATTTGGATTACGAATCAATACGAGCAGATTACGAATCAATGAATCATTTTGGAATTTCATTTAACTTGCATTTTTATGTCAGAAAGTGTTTTAATTCCGATTACTGTTTTCTCCATTATCATCATCATCGTCATATCCGATTTTTGATTATGGTGTTTTACCTGTCCCATCAGATGGGGTTGGCAGCACCAGGCATTGTCGAACTGCAGCTCTCCGTTAAATACGGTCTTGCGGGTCATTGTGGGTAAGGCAACGTTCCTTTATCATTTTTCACACAATCTTATCAAGTCTTTCTTGGTCTCCCACGTCTTTTGATGAAGGAGATCTTCATCTCACTGGCCATTTTGATGCATGAAGTGGAGGGAGCCGGGCTTAACACCGCAGATCCAAGGGATCATTGCATGGTCATTTCGTTGGAGTCGTTGCAGATCTGATTCGTTGGGACCCAAGTTTCACTTCCGGTCAGCATCGTTGATCGTACACAAGAAGAGTACACGTTTCCGCGTATACTAAAAGAGATGTGCCGCGAAATTATAATAGGGAGTAGTTTCCTGAATCTACACCAAGTTGAGCAACATCTGGCAGCAATTGCACTATCACAGCCCCCACCCGCACTGAGAATATCACCCAGGTAGCAGAAAGTTGGCTCAACAATGAGCGCACGCAATGCCATCTACATCAGTCATGATGAAGGGCGACCGTCGATAAATCGCGACAATCCAGTGCATCTGGGGCAACAAATTCTGGGTTGGCTACCAGCCGGTGTGATATTCGGCAGCATTTCTTTCTTGCGAACCCACAGTTTGCACTAAAAGCAAGCAATGGAGTTGCTTCCAACACCTTTACGACAGACAGCGCAATGGTACTTCCCAGAGTCCTTGAGGAGATCGAGGCGGATGCCTGAGATCAGAAACTTTGTCTTATTCTTGTTGACTCCCAGACCTTTACTCTCCATGCCAGTTTTCCGGATCTTGAGTCTAGCGATGCATTCATCAAGCGTGTCTGCCATTATAACTAAGTCATCCACATAAAAGGAGCTCCGCCTTTAAGTTGATTGACTTGGAGTGAGAGGGCCTCTAGGACGAGGATGAAGAGAAGTGGACTAAGAACAGAGCCCTGATGTACACCAATAATCATTTTGAATTTTGTTTCGCTGTGATGACCGTTTACTCGAAGTCGACTCCGGAAATTACAGTACATACACTGGACGTTCCGCACTGCCATTCTTCGACACCGATACTTCGAAGGGACCACCGCTGTACCTGCCTGGTTACACGGTCAAAACCTATCTCGAGATCCACGAAAGCAAACTAGAGAGGCCTGTTAGCAGCAATGTGTTTTTCTTGTAGCTGTCGAACGGTGAAAGTGTCGTTAGTGGTACCTCTGCTAGGTACATACAAAAACTGCATCTGGTCTATATGCACCATCCTACGAATGATGGGATCGAGCACTCGTTCTACCAGCTTCATGACTTGATCTGTGAGTTTCAGTCCTCGATAGTTGCCACGATTTAGGGCTTCTCCTTTGCCTTTGTGGAGGTTTAGAATCTAGCTCTCCTCCCAGTCGGCGGGGATAACACGATGATTGAAAACAGCTTCTGTTAGTTGCCTCATCAGTTCGACCCCAAGATCTCCAGTTGCTCTCATTTAGAGACACTGTGGCGAATTCTTCCTTCTCAGCAGCAGACTTAACAAGGTAAACAGTATGTTTTGACTTGCGCTTTGTTTTCAGATAACACTCGCAAGCCTTCAGCGCTTCAGTCTTACCTACCTTCATCAAGGCATTTTAAATCATGAAACGTGCGCGCTTCTCTTGCACAACGTAGTCAACTTGTTCATTCCACCACTAAGTTTCAGGTCTCCACTTGTGGTTCTTTCGTAGACCTCATACTTCAGTGGCAACCTTCAGAGTCGGAAACTTCAGGCGAGACCAGACATACTCAACATGACTGGTTGTGTCATTAATAGACTGAGCAATTGACATCTCAGGTTTCTGAGGAGCATCTTGGAATTAGTTGGCTATGGCTTCGTCTCCAAGCTTCCATTCGCGTATGCGAAGTTTGAACTTGCACTTGTTCGCACCTGGTAAGTGTACGGCGAGATCGCACACGACAAGGTGACGATGTTGGACTCATTCCTGGTTTGGAATAACTTTAACATCAGAAACGGCACTGCTAGAGAACTTAAGATAGAGTATGTTTTCCAGCTGCGTAGCGTGGCCACTCGAGCTGTATGAGATGAGGTGGTGGTCTCTCTTCTTCAACCAGGTGGTGCCGACTCGACGGCCGTTGGCAACAGCAAAATCCAGGATACGTTAGCCTTCTGTTTTACGCCAGCCGTAACCGTGTCCACCGTGTGCCTCTTTGTAACCATCGGCAGCAGGGCCGACGTGCCAATTCCAGACGCCAACCGGGATTAGCATCTCAGAACCTGGAATCTTGGCAACAGCATGTTGCAGTTGATCAAAGAAAAGCTCCTTGACAGCGGCGGGCAGACTAGCTTGCGAAGCAAAACTGAGACAAACGTTAGAACTCTATTTGCAATCATCAATTTGAGTATTATGATTCTGTCCGAGATGCGGTGCACTTCAATAACTTTGTCCGCTCAGCATTCGGCAAGGCGCACATCGGCTCCGCCAAGACCTGGTTCCTTCGAACAGTAGTAGAAGCGGTACTTGTCGCGCTCGACTATCAGACTACGGGCCTGGTTAGCTGCCACACCGACTTTCCACCTGTGCTCTTGGACACCGCAAATGTCAAGTTTTCTCCTCGATAAAGTCTCCAGCACTTCAGCACTCCTAGTTTTCAGGGTACCCACGTTCCAAGTGGCAACTCTGATTTTACTCGAGACCGAGGGCTTGTACGATTTGCCGCAATGGCCGGACCCTTCTTCCCACACCCGGGGGGAAGCCAAGATCGAGACATTATCTGCATTCCGCTTAGTATAGCTACAGGCACCACCTATATGGGGTTCTGTTAAAGACTTTGCCATGAGGTTGAAGCGGATTTTTGAACGGAGCGGTTGCTCTGCCTGACCTCCAACCTGAGCGTTAGGTGCTGGGGAAACCTGGACTTTCTGTTGTGGCGCCGACCCCTAGCCGGTTCCAAAGTGCATGTGGCCGCCCGGCAGCAGATGATTGAAATCGGAGTTTTCCTGCTCCTAGATGGGATACCCTCCCGGGTGTTAGAGGCCCCATCTGCCCAGGTAATAGGCTGATGCTCTGAAACATTTTCATGTATGGGTATGTGAAGTCTATAGATATGTGACGTCCAAGACATCGCATCAGTACATCGCTGTTTTGGAAGGATCTCCTTTTCGTTATAGTTGTATATGTTATTTCCTTGTACAAATGCTGCGCTAGCTGCGATATATTTTTTATTCTCATTCAATTTTGGATGTTAAGTGTGAAATTTAGTCGATTATTAATTTACAGGGGTTTTTCATGAAAAATATCTTTTATAATCAGAATCTAAGACTTTTTCCGCTAGGTTGTGATGATTTTATTGGTTTATTTTATCATGCAAAAAAAAACAATTGGATATAAGTCAAGGAACACTCAGTTACCAAATTACGTTGTTTCAAATATACTGCTTGCTTTCCTGGATTTTTTTTAAATTCCAAACAATTTGATTAGGTGGGGAAAATACACTTACCTGGAGGACCTGTTCGTCAGGAGCGATTATCGAAACAAGGGCATCGGAACCAAGCTGTTCACGTCTGTAATTCAGAAGTCACGTGACGAACATGGTAGTAGATCTATGCACTGGGCGGTGGTTAACTGGAACGAAAAAGCAAAGAAGTTTTACCGACAGTTTGGAGGCGACGAGTGCAAAGGAAGCATTCGGTTCAGATTTGACGAAAATCATAAGTTTTTACAAACATCGAACTAGAGAAATTGTTTTTGATTTTATAGACTCCGGGTACTGCTTATGATGCATAAATGGAGATGATTTATAGGCATTGTTGATATTAGAAAAGAATTTAATGGAATAATTTTGTTTGATTTAATATTTATAAGCTGAAGTGATCATGATGAGATCATGAATTATTCATTTATTTTAGCATTGTTTAAGTTTTGTTCATATATTTAAGCATATATTCTAAAACGTAGGAACTATGTGCATTTTTTTCATGAAAAACTGTTTGCTCTATTCGGTGCGAATCAAATCTGAAGCCGTTACACCCCCTGGTAAGAAAAGTAACTTATTTATAAATTCGATGATTACACAGGCAAGCTTGCGAGCTTTGTGTTATTATTAATAATTTTCCTAATGGTTCAGAATATATGCTGCTAAGATGAACAAAGATGGCAACGTAGAATTGAAGAATCCTATCTAAACAATCCGCTCTTGACTAAATATATATGCCTGAGGCAAACTGGCTCTATTTATGATTTTTTTGGACACCGAATCATGATTTAGAGGGTTTTGGTATGATATACAGTTGACCCTCTACGAGTTTTTCTCGACTTTCTTGAAATCGGTTGGAAAAAATTGACCTACGCCTGTGATAGTTCTAGTGGTCAGAAAAATATACCTGTTTTCTCATTACTTTTTCTACTGGGAAGTTCTCTTCACATTATGTCCTCGCTGCACTCGCACTCTGTCAGCGCATGGTTAACATTTTCTAATTCTCTACCATTAAAAACCCTTCAGAAAAAATGAATCTTTGGTGCAACTTGTACAATACATAAATGAAATAAAGGTTTCGACGCAAAATTTATAGTTTTCCAAGTACAGTAAATTATACAAGTTAGTTCAATAGCTGTTTTGCAATGAGCGCATTATAGATATACATCTAACGAAGGATATTTCACTTCTGTACATCGTGCGTTTTTTTTATAAAAAGTCTCAAACTTTGCACACACTCAAATTTATATTTGCCTTCTTTCCGCTCCCCCCCCCCCCCCCCCTGCACCTGCAATATTTAACAATTAAAAAAATTATTAACATTGTCCGATTGTTCTGACATGCGAACTAATTAGGCCCTGACAAACATATTTGGGCTGCTGGCGTAACCTTGGATACCACAAGTTAAAGTACAAAACTTATGCTCATTCTAGCTACTTATCCAACAATCAAAGTGCAAATGGCGCATAAATAATGTGAATGAATTTAACTGTCAAGATGATTTTATTCCCGTGGATTAACAACGGTTTGATCCAATTTTCTCTGAATTAGCTAGTTCTATCAGAGGAAATTCGATCGTGAAAGATCCTGAAATTCCAAAATTTTTCGTAAAGTATATCGAATTAGTTTACGTCTTCGATTCGAATTTGTTCAAGTTTAATTTTTTTAAATCTAGAGAATCTTTTTTTTATGTTCAGTCAGTTATCGTTTTTTGTAACGTAAAAAATTGAAATCATTTGAAAAAGGAAAAAATGTGTATACAAAAGTTATGATGGCTTTTGTTGTGTTATTTCCTTAAGATACACTGTTGCTTGTTGCTGAAAGATGGGAGTGTGGGTGATCGTTTGAGAAAAACAGTATAACAATGAAGTGCGATTGGCGTGTCAAGAATTAAATATGACAAACTCAACGCTATCAAAAGACCAGTTTATACAGTTAGTAATGATAGACAGATTGTATGGGCTTGCTTTAGTCGAGCCAAATGGAATGATTTCTACTGGCTGGCGTTGTCTTGTTGCCAAAAAAGTTCTTTTATCAACTGAATATATTAAATGATGCCTAACTCATGGTCTTGTCATCGATAAATGTTACCTATTCATTCGGTACAAATGCGCAAAGACTTTATAGAATTTGTCAGCTACAATTAAAGAATCGCTGATTCTGATGTGTACGAGATGGTTTTTGCGCTGATATCAATTTTAATTGTTAATAGTGCGTACGGAAAACAATTGATCAACAAAGCAAAGTTTGTCTTCACTCTTTATGTAAATAAAGCAGTTGCAACGAATAAATTTAACTCTTCCAGAGACTTACGATGTAATTGATAAGGTTAATTTCACATAACGTGTTAATTTCACATAACGAGCCTATAATTGTTGGAATTGTTTTTCTGAATAATGCAAAACAACGAAAATCCTGAAATCCCAAATTGTTCGTAAAGTATATCGAATTTGTTTACGCCTTCGATTCGAATTTGTTTAAGTTTGTGATTATCAAGTGTTTTTTAAAAAATCATGGCATTTTTCTTGTCCTTTAGCATAATAACTTGCTTGTTTCAAGTTGACTGATTGTAAAGTGTTTGCAGTTGTGCGCAGGGAATATCGCCTGACTTTGTGCCAATTTTTGATTAAAAACGTTTTCTTTCTCGTTCTGTGCTTTGATCAAATTGGTTATCTCAAGGAGCACCAGTCGTCAAGAAGCTACAAATAGAATGTTATCACCAATTACTAGGAAAGTCTTATAAAAAACAGCAAAATTTCGTTAAGCTATTCTTTGATGATTTGCCCATGAAACATTTCCAAATCGAGTACTACAATAGTCTCCGTGCAGTTGGAGATCTTGTTAATCTGATTAAAAATCTAAGCTTCTTGTTCAAAAACTTTCGCTGTTCTGTTTGTGATACTTATTTAAAAAACTCTCGATGGACGTTTCGAAAAATGCGATTATCAAACAAAACATGTGTACCCAGGAGGTAAGTACAGTCCCATGACTTCAATTTTTGATGAACTCGAACTGATTGGTATAAGTGTACCACAAGCGCTTCGATTGTATCAATCTTTCGCTACGTTTGACTTCGAATCTGTTCCAGAAACTGTCATCCGTGAAAACGGTGAACAACTGGATCTTTCTGATGATTTGTTTGTTTTTTTTTCTAAAAAATTACGTTTCACAAATCAATATATTCCAGTATCTGTTGCTATTCATCATAATAATCTTCTTTCTTAGAGTGCCTATGCAAATTTTTTGTAAATAAGCACCCGCAATTGCTGATTGATTCTTTCGTTCGTTTTTTGATTTATCAGAACAAAATGCAGCTTTTTAATCAGAAAAGTTTGATGATGTTGTGGAGCAATTTGACTGTTTGATAGGTTATCAGAGTTCTCATTTAGATGAAAAGGCCCCAACTCTTAAAAGATCAAACCAATTAACTAGTAAAGTGACCGCTTACTTTGACCAATTACCAGTAGCAGTATTTCATAGTGGTATTAACCACCTATTTTTAATTCGGAAAATTTCTCAAATCTTCAACCAGGTTTTACCCTTTATCAACAATAAATGTTATCAAAAAGAATAGCGATTTCTACTATTGGGTTTGCCGATACTTTGTTTTTTGACAGCGGAAACATCTTTGGATCAGTTTCTTAAAGCCTATGGAGTAACAGCAAGCAAATTTAATTTCCCAGATGAATACTTGACATCTTCTGATAAATTTTCCGAAATATCTTTACCTACGTGTGCAGCTTTTTATGTCAATTTGCGTAATGCAAACACTCTCGATTCTGAGTGATAAAATGCTGTTAAAAAAGGCGTGAACCTTGAAAACCAACATAGACCGAAGACGTGAAAAGGAATCTATGAGTATATAGGAGAAGTATGGTCCAAAAATATTTCGAAACAATTGAAGATTTTCGGAAGTATAAAACTGTCTCGACGTTGAACCTCTACACGAAGCTTTTGAAAAGGTTTTTCGAATCTATAAACTCGAAAAAATTGATCTCCTTAAAGAAATTTTGACTTTGAGTGGTGCGGCTAACAAAATCCTTCCTCGCTCCAACAGAGGTGAAGTTATTTTGCGATTTGGTGAGAAACATGCAAATTTGTGCGATCTAGCGCGCAAAGATATTGTCGGTGGTTCAAGTTGAGTCGTCAGTCGCTATGAGGAAGTCAACTAATCGGTACCAATAGAACACCTGGTTTCTTTAAAGTGGAATTGAGTGGAACATAAATGGTTTATTGAATAGTAAAAATTATTGCGGGTACAATGAACATGACGATACGATCAAAATGGCAATGAAAGGTTCAAACAGAAACATCAGTAGTCCTCTGGAAAAATACAAGATTGTACTTCAAATGAAAAAAAACCTAACAAAGGTGGTGTTAACAGTGGCTTCTGACTTTTTGATAATCGGATTAAAACCTTTGAACAAAATAAAAATTCAATCTCGTTTTTCTTTTGTAAGCGTCGCTTTTTAAGCAACCGAACTTTCACAAAGCCTTTAAATTTATCACTAATGCTTGTCATCGATTCATTAAATCATTCTTGGAATTTTTTTTCAAATTCATTGAAACCTTCCAAAAATCTCTATTGTCTGTAAACAAAAACTCTATTTTCATTGGTTTTTTCAATTTTGTATTTAATTTGAAAATAATTTTCTGCTGAGCTGCTAAAGAAATTCGATTAATTTAATTAAATATTTTTTAATTTGTCAGTGCTGAAATGTGAGCGAAATACTTGATCTAATCTATGTTGAATCGTAAAAAAAAAACATTTTTTTAAAATATTTGAGCTCAGTGTTTGTTAATGTTTGTTAAAATTTTGTTCTTAGCTGAAGACCTTAAGTTTTTTTTTAAATTCGCAGTGGTAGATCTAATTTTCTTTTTGAGACAAATTTGACTTTGTGCCACTCCACAATGGAAGGTTTCGGCGTGTGCTGTTGCACAGATGGAACAATATCGGTCGATTGTTTTTCAATCTCTTGTTGAAATTCTTCTCGCGTTTCGGTATCCATACAATCGTCATTATAAGGATTCACTCTGGTTGACTTTACTTGAATATTGAACTAGTAAAAATGAATTTTTAGCGGAGGTGAATATGAGAACAGTTTTTTCTAGAATATATCAGAAGCTTATATGAGCCAGATGAAAAGCAAAAAGTGATTGAAACTTTTCGAAGATCGAAAAATATTCCAAAATGAAACATTTTTCTAATTAGATTTTAAACACAGACAACTAGTATGATGGCATGGTTCAAAGTTTCAACTCAGGTTGTCTACTCTTTTCTAAACAAATTAAGTAGTTTTGTATTTTTCAGAATTTTTTTCTTGATAGTTTTTTTTTAAATTGTAAATTACTTACTCAATTAAAGGGGT